CTTATTCCACTGAGCCCTCTCCCCAGCCCCTCTGAGTTTTACCTATTAAACTTATTTTGAACAATTATTTTCTCTTCCTGCTTCCCGTGTATTAAAAATAGACAAATATGTAGGTAAACTTTATGAAAACCAGTTAACACACCTCTCCTCACTACATGGATAGACTATTTATAAAAGCATGAAGAAATATCCTGTACGTATCTGAAAGTGAGATGACAGAAGACAGTGTATTCCTCTATGAGTACGACGGCAGCGAGCACTGGCCAAACTGATTAGCGCAGCCTAACGCTGGAAGAATTCTCTGGCGAACAGCGTGCTGTCTCTGGCTCTCTTCCGGAGAGCGGAGAGCGTGGGCAGGGCAAGGGGAGTTCTGCAAATTCCCCCACTAGGTAAACTCGAAAGGCACAAACCAGCCACACCCCTTAAAAGTCAAAGGCAGCGTGTAGTTTGAGATATTAGATGGCATGTCCCAAAAATACAGGAGGATCAAGGGACAATCCATAGATTTGTTTTAAATATTAGAAAACATTAAATCTTTTATCTTAATCGATATTTCACAAATACATGAGCTAACCATTTTGTTTTTATGTAAACAGAAAATAATCTTAAATTTCTTTCTTTTTTTTTTAGAGGGGGGAACCCAGGGCGATTGAACTCAGGCTCTTGTGCTTGCCAGGGAAGCGCTTATTCCACTAAGCTATCTCCCTAGCCCCTTAAATTTCATAGGAAACAATATGGGCTATAGTTTGAATTTATTTAATGAATTAAACACTTATTTAAGATATTCTATTTGATCATTTTATATAAAATTATATTTTCTTTAAATAATAACATAACTAGTTAACTATCTTTGACAAAAGAGGTTTTGTTTGTTTGTTTGTTTGTTTGTTTGTTTTGCCAATTTCCAACTGAAACTTTTCTCACCTTGAACCAAAACAGTTTGTTTGTTTTTTTTTTGATAAAAATCTTACTAAAATATTATAAACATCCATTCTTTATAGAGCATACAAAACGTAATTTGACTGACTATAAGTCAGGATATATTTATGATGATATGCCAAAGTGTCTGGTGGCAATATGATATAGAATTGAATACTGAATTGTGTTTCTGCTGCTTGTTGTTATCAGCTGTCATTTCTCACTTTTCCCTTGTTACTGGCTCTACGAGCTCTCATACTTCACAGTTTTGCTTCTATTCTGCTTGGAATGAAAAGTAAAACCCCCATTTTCACTGTTCTACCTTATACTCCAGCAACTTCAAATGTCATCCAAATGATAAGTACTCCCAAGTCCATTTCCATCCCAGACATTTCTACAGTAAAAGAATTTTTTAAAAAATTATTTCCCACTACACTGGAAGACTCCATTGTTTGCCAGCGACATTTTCTTTGGAGAATTTACAGGCCATAAAGACCATTCCCTGTGATTCTGTAGCACTTTGTCATATGGTCTGCCTGCTGCTCTAGAACAGTATTCTAGATCCCTGTGGCTCATGTCTGTGTGCTTTGTGCCTCATTTATTACTAGCCTCACAGACAGTATTTAAAAAAAGTTTGTAGTTAAATGAGATTAAATAAAAGTAACACATGACTACTGTCATGGAATAAAATGCATGTGTTTCAGCCCGAGGTAAGAAGACAGTACAGGTGCTCAGAGATGATTTAGTTTGTTCTTAGGCCACTGAAGTGAACCACAACTCCCATTATTGTGTACATAGGTGCCAACTAAAGTAGGAAAAACTACACCAACATATTAATGTTAATTCTCACCAACCCAGAGAAAATTAAAATAAGGAAGAGTAGATGAGGAAGAAAGTAGAACCACTATGATGTAATATGGGGAAGAAAAATATAATCTTTTCCATTAATGCAGGAAAAAGTTAACCAAACACAGCATCTATCCATTGTTAAAAACCAAAAGCAGAAACAAAACCAAAACCACTGTCAACAACTTAGGAATGGAAGATAGCCTCTTTTGCTAAGTAAAACGTCTCTCCAAGAGTCTAGAGGTAATGGTGCATGCAGTGGTGAAAATCTTACACTTTCCCATGTTAAACTGCAAACATGAAAAAGTTGTCTTCACTTCCCAAGCCCATTCAGTGCTGCACTGGAAGTTACAGCTAGTGCTATAAGGAAAAAGCATATCAAAGAAAATGAGAAAGGAGGCAATAAACTTTCTCCTATCATTTATTTATTCATTTATTTGATACCAGGGATCAAACTCAGGACCTTACACTTGCCAGGCAGGTACTTATGCCGCTGAGGTATCTCCCTGGCTCCTATAATTGGTTTTGAATAATTCGATCACGACGGGACTTGGTGTAATATATTTTATATTTCTTCTTATTGGTTATTCACTGAGGTTCTTTGATCTGTTGACTCATTTTTTCATCAAATTTAGTACATTGTTGGCCATTATTTCATCAAAATGTTTTCTGTATCTTCTCTCTCTTATCTCATTATGAGACTGATCATACACATATTAGGCTGCTTAAACTTATCCCAAAACTTAGTGATGCTCTCTTTGTGTTTTCTTTCTTCTTTCTCTATGTTCTTCATTTTGAATACTTTCTATTGCTATCTTCTAGTTCATTAATCTTTTCTTCTACAACATCTAATCTGTTATTAATTTAATCCAATGAGTTTTTATCTCCTATGTTATAGTTTTCTTAATATATATATAATATATATATATGTATATATATATATATATATATATATATATAGAGAGAGAGAGAGAGAGAGAGAGAGAGTATAGGGTATCACTGCAGATTGGATTCATAGTGATCCACCAGCCTCCCACATTCTGGGATTACAGGGGCACACCACCACATCAGTCTCAGTCACTCTCTCAGTGCACTCAGGGACAGGGCTGGGAAAGCATGCAGGGGATTGAACCCTGGTCCCTGTGCCTGCTTAAGCAGCCATTTTAGTTCATGGAACGATATGGCTGGCCCACTTCTGGTTTTAAAAATGTGTTTTACACTTTAACTTTTGAACATCACACTAGTTTCAATAACTGATAAACATGCTTGCTTTGCTAATTCTAACATCTGTGCCAGTTTGTGGCCACTGTGGAGCAATTATTTAGGTAGTTAATCCGTAGGATTTTTTTTTTTTTTTTTTTTCTGGCTCAGGCTGCCTTAAGGGCGGGTCTGCGGATTGAACCACAGTCTGCTGCGCCTGAGTGGGTTTGCCAGAGCAGGCACTTAAACAACTGAACTAACCCATAAGCCCCCCTAGGTGACTATTTTGGATTACATTGTATTTATATGTCTAACAAGTTTTTGTTGGGTTCTTACTGTGTTAAATTGTGGATTTTTTATTCCCATACTAAGTCATAAACATTTCACTGAGACACAGCTAAGTTACTTATAAACAGTTTAATTTTTAAATCTTATTTTAAGTTTTTTTAAAGAAAGAACAAAGCAGCTCTCAGGTTCAGGATAATTATTCTCCAGTACTTACTCCAATACACTCCAATCCCCTTTCTGATGCCCACTTCACACTCTAAACTGTGATGTTTCTAGTCTGTCTGGGGCACCGGTACCGTAAAATCATCTGCATGGGATGGTTAAAATTCTTACCCTAAGATCTTTCTTTCCTGCCCCTTAAGTGGTTTCCTCATATTGACACACTGATTAGAACTAGCAGAATACTTGAAAGGGGACTTCAGTTCTCAGGATACCTTCTCAGTGGAATTTTCTCATTTCTACCTTTATGTTCTGAAAACTTTACCTGCGTTAATCTCAAGGACCAACAAGAAGCATGAGTTTTTCCTTCAATTCTAGGAATTCTCTGGTCTTAGCCTGTTCTCTTTCCCTGTGCTGGAGTGTGAAGAGTCTTTCAATTATAGGTTTTCATTTGCTCCCTGCCTTTCAAGGACCACTGCCTTCTGTGGCCTGATGTCCAGTGTCTCGCAAATGCTTGTTCATCCTTCAGTAGGTGGCTAAATGCAACCCAGGAATTCTTGGTCAGAGTGGAAGAAA